TTTTTCCTCTGTTGGTTGAATCGGATGGACTTGTGTCTTTTTTCAACCAGATTAACTATGTAACTACAGTATATTTGTCTTTCTGCCACATTGCCTCATAACACTTCTTTATATATAGTACTTCATGCCACGCTGTTACAATTTGTTCCTCATAGTTCTCTCTTACTTGCAGTACCTCACACCTCTCTTTGAGGCCTCATTCACACGGCCATCATGCTCCGTAGTCTGTGAATGGGCCATGAGTTTGTGGCATGAGCCGCTAGGTGCTGTATACAGGCAGCACTTGCAAATCTTTGAAGACGCAGCGGCTGCATGGATACAGGTGCATGTTCCAGTTTGGCAGGTGTGTGGTTGTGGGTGACCAACCCCAAATGCAGACTGTGTGCTGTAGTAAAAATCAAACATGGTTGGGAAAGTTTTAGCAGCAGTAGTGGCAGGCAAACTGGCCTCTCCAGCACACAGCAGCTGTCTGCATTTTCCAAACATTCTAATAGGCCTCAGAAAAAACCAGCAAGAGTCCTCTTAGTTGTCAAGTAAACAACAGCCATCTTCACAGTCACAGGGAGAGCCACATGACTGTGACAGTGAGACATGGAGCCAGGACACCACTTGGTATTCCTTCTTGGGACATGCAGCCGCTCTTTTCCAGCCCATTGTTTGTTACCCATTTCCTTGTGTGGGAACATCAAATTTTCTGTGGCAAAACGTCTGATTCCAAATTAAACTCTGGTTACTGAGAAGGAACCTGTTTGAAGATGTCCAAATCCACTCCTCAAAAATATGTTCCACAGGAGCCAGTATGTCAAATGTTACAAAATACAGACTCCCCTATTCTATATATTTAAATTGTTGCAATAAATAATGTAACAACTAAGACTTCCAAATTTGTCTTAAAATCTATCTGCATTCTTGTTTAACCACTTCCACGCCGCCCTATAGCAGAAATACTGCTACAGGGCAGCACAGGTACTCAAAATTTTATGTGTGTGTGTGTGTGTGTGATTTTGCAGTTCCGGGTAGGGGGCGCGTGCCTCAGCTATCAACCATTAGGTCCAGGCCGGTGATTCGCCGCTGGTACCCGGCGATGTCCGAGGATTTCCGACGGGGAGAGACCTGTATGTAAACAATACAGATCTCTACCCTGTCAGCTCCTGCACACACTGCTTTGTATGGCTCTGCATAACACAGCCATACAAAAGCACTGTGCTTACAGTGAAGCCAAAAAAATGTTGATTACAGCCTATGTGTGCATGGACACATAGGATAACATGCTGGGGGGTTTACTGGCTATAGATAAAAATGACAAAAATAGCAGCAGTAAAAACGTCAAGTGTGCATGAGGACTAAAACAGCACAGTTAACCCTCTGGAGTATGATAACCCCTTCTTGCCCAGTGCCATTAGTACAGTGTCAGCCCTTTTTATTAGCACTGATCACTGTATTGCTGTCATTGGGGATGTCAGTGACACCAAGTCAGTTCACTGTCAGAATGCCCTCCACAGTCCTGCTATAACTCGCTGATCGCCGCCATTACTAGTAAAAAAAATGTCAGTATATATACCTCCATTTGTAGATGCTATAACATTCACGTAAACCTATTAATTTACATGTATTGGGATTTTTTTTTAGCAAAGACATGTAGCAGAATACATTTTTGCCTAAATTTATGATGAAATTTGATTTTTTTAATTTTTTTACTGGACATGTTTAATAGCAAAAAGTAAAAATATTGTTTTTTTCCCAAAATTGTCGGTCTTTTTTTATTTATAGCGCAAAAATTAACTGCACAGGCAATCAAATATCACCAAAAGAAAGGTCCACTTTTGAAAAAAAAAGGATGTAAATTTAATTTAGTTGTGCGCAATTGTCAGTTAAAGTAACGCAGCACTGTATCGCAAACAATGGCCTGGTAAGGAAGGGGGGTAAATCCCCTGGAGGGCAAGTGGTTAAGTGTATATTGTGTGTGTGTGTGTGTGTGTGTGTGTGTGTGTGTATATGTGTATGTATCAGGGGCGGACTGACAACTCATGGGGCCCCCAGGCAATAGGGGATCATGGGGCCCCTGTGTCCTTGCCCAAACTCAAAGCCTATGAAAAAGGTACCAGGGGCATCTCATGGGGCCCCCCACTGAACCCAGGCCCTCGGCAGTGCCCGAGTTTCCAAATGGTCAGTCCGCCCCTGGTGTGTATATTGGGACATTGACACAATTCTTACATTTTTGGCTCTATACACCACCACAATGGATTTGAAATAAAACTATCAAGATGTGCTTTAACTGCAGACTGTCAGCTTTAATTTGAGGGTATTTACATCCAAATCAGGTGAACGGTGTAGGAATTACAACAGTTTGCATATGTGCATCCCACTTGTTAAGGGACCAAAAGACACAGAACTGTTACTCAGGGACACAGAACTGTTACTGAGGGACAGACACAGAACTGTTACTGAGGGACACAGAACTGTTACTGAGGGACACAGAACTGTTACTGAGGGACAGAATTGTTACTGAGGGACACAGAAATGTTACTCAGGGACACAGAACTGTTACTCAGGGACACAGAATCGTTGAATTAAAGAGTATGTCAGACAACACGCAGAGGAGTGGCAGAGGAGGCAATGTTTCAGGAGCGAGCAGACGTGGCAGCAGAGGAAGGGGTCGAGGCAGCACTAGTCGCAGCCAGAGGCCAGTGCTCCCGGTGTCATCCAGCGGTCGTGTCTCCACCGACAACCCTGCCGTCATCGATTGGTTGGCTCGGTCGTCTTCCTCTTCCCAGGTCACCTCTGACACCTACAGCCAACGGTCGGTGGGTACGTCAGACACAACCGTTAGTTGGCATGGCCCGGGAGCAAGCCCACTGAAATCACGTGTCCTCTACCTGCCCCTGTCCTTTGGTGTTCCCTCACCGAGCGAAGTATCGCATGCTGTGGGCTCAGCCCCACTGTACAGTGAGGAAGAGCTAACAGAGGGCGGTCAGGAACGGGGGGAGACATCCGCCTCTTCAGCAGCCAGGCGAAGAAGTACTGGCGAGGAGAGTGGCTCGGTAGCCGGTCTAGAGACAGGTCTGTCTCCTGACCCACACGCAGCCGAGGGGGCTAGTAGTGAGGCGGAGACCCTAATTGATGATGATGAGGCTGATCGCACTTGGCAGCCTCGTCGTCATCAGGCTATTGCTTCCGCATCATCAGGAGAAGAGGGTGCCAGCTTGGCAGCGAGCAAAACAGTCGGTGGGTTGCCCAGGAGGCAGCAGGGTCGCAGCAGTGTCAGTGGAGGCAAACGGCCACGGAGTAGAGCACCAGCTCCACTGCTGGTGGGTTCCATTTTGTCATAGGGTGCTGGCAGATTACGGGCCTCCCATTGCTGCTGCCAGGCCGGTAATCTGCCATGGGCCCCCGTACCGACTCCTCATGCTGCTGCCAGGCCCGTAATCCGTCATGGGCCCCTGTACCGCCTCCTCATGCTGCTGCCAGGTCCAGAGTGTGTCATGGGTCCCTGTACGGCCTCCCATTGCTGCTGTCTCCATCGCCACACACTCTGCCATGTGCCACTTTCAGGTCTCCTCACACTGCTGGTGGGTTCCATTTTGTCATAGGGTGCTGGCAGATTACGGGCCTCCCATTGCTGCTGCCAGGCCCGTAATCTGCCATGGGCCCCTGTACCGCCTCCTCTCATGCTGCTGCCAGGTCCAGCGTGTCTCATGGGTCCCTGTACGGCCTCCCATTGCTGCTGTCTCCATCGCCACACTCTGCCATGTGCCACTTTCAGGTCTCCTCACACTGCTGGTGGGTTCCATTTTGTCATAGGGTGCTGGCAGATTACGGGCCTCCCATTGCTGCTGCCAGGCCCGTAATCTGCCATGGGCCCCCGTACCGACTCCTCATGCTGCTGCCAGGCCCGTAATCTGTCATGGGCCCCTGTACCCGCCTCCTCATGCTGCTGCCAGGTCCAGAGTGTCTCATGGGTCCCTGTATGACCTCCCATTGCTGCTGTCTCCATCGCCACACTCTGCCATGTGCCACTTTCAGGTCTCCTCACACTGCTGGTGGGTTCCATTTTGTCATAGGGTGCTGGCAGATTACGGGCCTCCCATTGCTGCTGCCAGGCCCGTAATCTGCCATGGGCCCCTGTACCGCCTCCTCATGCTGCTGCCAGGTCCAGAGTGTGTCATGGGTCCCTGTACGGCCTCCCATTGCTGCTGTCTCCATCGCCACACTCTGCCATGTGCCACTTTCAGGTCTCCTCACACTGCTGGTGGGTTCCATTTTGTCATAGGGTGCTGGCAGATTACGGGCCTCCCATTGCTGCTGCCAGGCCCGTAATCTGCCATGGGCCCCCGTATCGACTCCTCATGCTGCTGCCAGGCCCGTAATCTGTCATGGGCCCCTGTACCGCCTCCTCATGCTGCTGCCAGGTCCAGAGTGTCTCATGGGTCCCTGTACGGCCTCCCATTGCTGCTGTCTCCATCGCCACACTCTGCCATGTGCCACTTTCAGGTCTCCTCACACTGCTGGTGGGTTCCATTTTGTCATAGGGTGCTGGCAGATTACGGGCCTCCCATTGCTGCTGCCAGGCCCGTAATCTGCCATGGGCCCCTGTACCGCCTCCTCATGCTGCTGCCAGGTCCAGAGTGTCTCATGGGTCCCTGTACGGCCTCCCATTGCTGCTTTCTCCATCGCCACACTCTGCCATGTGCCACTTTCAGGTCTCCTCACACTGCTGGTGGGTTCCATTTTGCCATAGGGTGCTGGCAGATTACGGGCCTCCCATTGCTGCTGCCAGGCCCGTAATCTGCCATGGGCCCCTGTACCGCCTCCTCATGCTGCTGCCAGGTCCAGAGTGTCTCATGGGTCCCTGTACGGCCTCCCATTGCTGCTGTCTCCATCGCCACACTCTGCCATGTGCCACTTTCAGGTCTCCTCACACTGCTGGTGGGTTCCATTTTGTCATAGGGTGCTGGCAGATTACGGGCCTCCCATTGCTGCTGCCAGGCCCGTAATCTGCCATGGGCCCCTGTACCGCCTCCTCATGCTGCTGCCAGGTCCAGAGTGTCTCATGGGTCCCTGTACGGCCTCCCATTGCTGCTTTCTCCATCGCCACACTCTGCCATGTGCCACTTTCAGGTCTCCTCACACTGCTGGTGGGTTCCATTTTGTCATAGGGTGCTGGCAGATTACGGGCCTCCCATTGCTGCTGCCAGGCCCGTAATCTGCCATGGGCCCCTGTACCGCCTCCTCATGCTGCTGCCAGGTCCAGAGTGTCTCATGGGTCCCTGTACGGCCTCCCATTGCTGCTGTCTCCATCGCCACACTCTGCCATGTGCCACTTTCAGGTCTCCTCACACTGCTGGTGGGTTCCATTTTGTCATAGGGTGCTGGCAGATTACGGGCCTCCCATTGCTGCTGCCAGGCCCGTAATCTGCCATGGGCCCCCGTACCGACTCCTCATGCTGCTCCTAGGCCTGTAATCTGCCATGGGCCCCTGTAACGCCTCCTCATGCTGCTGCCAGGTCCAGAGTGTGTCATGGGTCCCTGTACGGCCTCCCATTGCTGCTGTCTCCATCGCACACACTCTGCCATGTGCCACTTTCAGGTCTCCTCACACTGCTGGTGGGTTCCATTTTGTCATAGGGTGCTGGCAGATTACGGGCCTCCCATTGCTGCTGCCAGGCCCGTAATCTGCCATGGGCCCCCGTACCGACTCCCTCATGCTGCTGCCAGGTCCAGAGTGTCTCATGGGTCCCTGTACGGCCTCCCATTGCTGCTGTCTCCATCGCCACACTCTGCCATGTGCCACTTTCAGGTCTCCTCACACTGCTAGTGGGTTCCATTTTGTCATAGGGTGCTGTATGGCCTCCCATTGCTGCTGCCTCCACCGCCACACTGTGGCTCCACACTCTGGTTTTGGCCCCGTGACTGCCCAAATGAGTGAAGTGTGTGGTGATTCTAAGATCGACGGCACTCATCTGCATGTCATACTGACTGACAGTATTATTTCTCTTCCCCAGCAGACTCCAAGGGCATTTAAATTAAAGGTACAGTGTTCTGCACTAATATAAAGGCTCTCTGAAGCCTAGAAACACCCTTTTTATAAGTTAAATTCGCAGCGAATATATTCGCATCGAATCAAATTTATTCCTCGAATTCGCCGAATCAGCCGAATCGAATTTTTGCATACTTCGCTCATCTCTAGCGGCTATGTCCCGGCGATCAGCGGTAAATGGTGACAGAGAGCACAGCTGCAGTAGCTCTGCTGTCTGTCACCTCAATGTTAGCTCGAGGATGAGCTGATCGAGAAAGAATAGTTTCACTTTCTCGATCAGCCTTGTCCCGCCCAGTACACACCCCCGCCCCCTAGTAAAACACTCCCCTCACTCCTATAACCCTTCCCTGCTAAATAAAGTTAACCCCTTCCTCCCCATTGCCATTAGTACAGTGTCAGTTTTCTTTTTTTGCACTGATCACTGTATTAGTGTTTTTGGGGATGTCAGTGACCCCAAGTCAGTACCCCCCAATGTCAGAATGTCCGCCACAGTCCCGCCATAAGTTGCTGGTCGCTGCCATAAGTCCCTGATCGCCGCCATAATTCGCTGATCGCCGCCATTATTAGTATAAAAAAAACCCTAAAAATCCCAGTATCTTTCCCGCCATTTGTAAACGCTATAACTTTCACGTAAACCAATTAATTTACACGTATTGGGTTTTTTTTTAGTAAAGACATGTCACAGAATGCATTTTGGCAGAAATTTATGACTAAATTTGATTTTTGCATTTTTTTTTTTACTGGACATGTTTTATAGCAAAAAGTCCAAAATATTGTTTTTTTTTCCTCAAATTGTCAGCCTTTTTTTTTTTTTTATAGCGCAAAAAATAAAAACCGCACAGGCGATCAAATACCACCGAAAGAAAGCTCAATTTGTGGGGGAAAAAAGGATGTAAATTTCATTTATGTACCATATTGCATGACCGTGCAATTGTCCATTAAACTAGCGCAGCGCTGTATAGCAGAAAAATGGCGTAAATTGCAGTATTTATACCATAGTTTGTAGACGCTATAACTTCCACACAAAGCAATCAATATACACTTATTGGGATTTTTTTTACCAAAAACATGTAGCAGAATACATTCTGGCCTAGATTTATAACCAACTTTGAGTTTACTATATATTTTTTATAGCTGAAAATAAAAAATATTGTTTTTCTTCAAAATTTTTGGCGTTTTTTTGTTTATAGCGTGAAAAATAAAAAGCGCACAGGTGATCAAATTACACCGAAAGAAAGCTCTATTTGTGTGAAATAAAGGACGTACATTTCGTTTGGGTGCAGCATTGCATGACCGCACAATTATCAGTTGAATTAGTGCAGCGCCAAGTAGCAAAAAGAGGCCTGGTCAGGAATGGGGGTAAATCCTCAGGAGCTCAAGTGGTTAAAGGTTTTAAAGGGTACCTCCACTTTTGTGGGGAAAAATTTCAAATTTAAAAAAATATAGCATATACAATTGCTACACAAGTCGTAATTGAATGTTATTAAAAACTACCTTTCATTTTCAATTTGCAGCACTGTAATGCAATATGACTACCTGGTGGAGTTCTGTACAGAGATGGTTTACAGAATACTCCCATCCCAAAAATGTAATTTTTTACTTGTGTGATTGGCTTACTGATTTTCCCAGAAGTCTTCTCTAGGATACAAGTCAGATTTTGAGCATCTCCTGCAACAAAAATGTTATTTTTGGTGAGATACTCCCAAAGGGAAATCACATCTAACACCCTGGTCACACCAGGTGTTACTTGCCATGCCATGCGACTTGAAAATCTCATGGCAAGTTGCACCCTAATGTCCACAATTAAAGCGGTCATATCAGTACGATTCTGACTTGGTCAGAGCCTCACCGATTTCTAAAGTAGTGCATGCATTACATTAGGTGAGACTTGCATAGACATCAAGGCAGATGTCTTGCAAGTCGCACCTCAAGTCGGATTGACATCTGACTTTGAAATCATGCAACTTCACTGGAAGTTGCACGATTTCAAAGTTGGATCAGTGTGACTGGGGGTAAAGGGATACAGACCTTGCAGCTTTCCTCATTGGAGCCCCGCAGGTGATTGATAATTATAAAACCTTTTCTCCTTTAGTCTGCCCATGGACACAGACAAATAAACAGCTGTCTCTGCAGAATAGCAACAGGTAGAAATCTGCAACAAAGTTTATTAAAATCCCTGCAATGTACATAGATCACCCAGAGGGGAATGTTTTTTTTTTCTCAACAAAAATTACTCTTTAAACATTTACAATTTGTTGCTTTCCTTCTGTTCTTATCATAAAGTATTGTTTATTATAAAGGTCCTGTTGTTTTTGTTGAAATTTATGATGGAAAGCACTGCAGAAAACAAAAGGGGTAAGCTCACCCCACCAAAATATAGTTTTCTCCTATGGCTTTGCCCAAGGGGTGGAAAAAACAGGCAACTGAGCCAGTTTTATCATTTCCCCCACTGCCGAGTTGCAGGTGGCCATGTTAGTACTCATTACAGCGCAGTGAAAATATGTGCTGGGGTTTACATGTGCGGATGTTTTACTGACCCCTCTACAAAGCAATCCATGTTTAACCACTTTTCAGGGACAGTTGACAGGTGGCTCAGAGAGCATCCTGGATGCTTTGTGTAACCGTTGAGAGCCTAGAAAACCATGCAACAATTGCCTGCATTACACACAGTTGTGAATGTTGTCCCATGCACTTCAATGGGTCAAGTTTGGTGTAGGATCTGTCTGCCAACCGCAACAGGTTGCATTGTTTCCACAGCCCTGTAACGTCATGATGTGCATTGACATGGCTCCCAGCAAGCACCTGTTTTACTGTCCCTCAACTGCCAATTTAAACAAGGTTTTTGGCAGGCAAAACTGCTGTCAAACATGACCCATTCACGTGCATGGAACTGGTGTGCTCCAGGCTTTAAATAGTGAAAATAGGTATCCAGATGACAATATATTGCCTCTGAGCTACCTGTCAGCGGCCTCTGCATTTGATCACTTTTTAGAGGGGTTGTAAAACAAGGGCAAATGTGAAAGAGTCCTAAAAAGTCTTCAATAACTTCTTTTAATACAAGTGAACAATGTTTATCAATGTGACACTCAGCCCAGGCCTGCGCTGTCATCGTTCCCTGGAGACTAACTGCTGCTTTCCATTTCTATCAGCTAACACTCTCTCTCTGTCAGGCTTGTTTCACAGGAAATTTCCTTTACTCATTTACTTAGTACAGGGACTATTTTTGAATCAAGAATGTCATAACAACCCTAAATGAATGGCAAATCTTGACTGGGGATAGGACAACACTAGCTGTCAATCATAGGAGCTAGCTAGCAAATCCCCTAATCCACCAGTTCTTGTGTTTTATGTATGCTTCCATAAAAAGTAACAATCCACACATGTACTTGAACATGCCAAGGTTTGTCCTCCCCACTCGTAGCTTCTCTTCTTGGTATTAGAGGCTCAGTGGGATAAATTGAGAAACAAGTCCATTAGCTGCCAGTATGCAGCCCAACCATTGTTCACCAGTGCAATACTCTATGGAGGCAGTCATATGTCATTCTCCCCAAAACAGTTAATTACACAGAGAACCACCCAATAAAAAGAACATATAACTAGCTATATGTACACTTTTTTTTTTTTTTTTTTTAAATATTATTGTAACCTATTGAAATGTTATTACTTGCAAAATGTTAAAACGGACATTAGATGGCCGTAGTATACTATTTAGGATTATTCACATTGATAGAACAGCCCTCTGGAACTTGTATTTTTGAACAGCAGGACTTGGCTAATAAGCAGAGTGCTTGGGACTACATTTCTCAGGAGGGGTAGAGTGTAGGCGGGGGCATATAAAGATCAAAGCTCGGGAGGTTGGCCAGGAGAGTGAGAAGGGAGATTGAAGGAGAAGGAAGTGTGCTGCCGGATGAAGTGCTGAATTAGGCCATGGAGTCAGGATCAGAGAGAGTAGAAAGAGTTTACTAACCACCCAGCCTGCTACGCTGCCAAGCAGGTCACTCTGACAGCAGGAGACAGAGCGGAACGCCAAGTCTGAACCAGAGTGCCTGTGGACTGTTCCTATCCATTGAGAAAGACGGATTGGAAAAATTCCACCCCAGAGGATGTGCCAGAGGCACAAGTTATGGCCAATATGAATGGCATAGTGCAGACCCTGACCCAACTGGCTCAGGCTCAAGCAATGATTCATCAAACTTTTTGTGAAGTCCAAAAGACTGTGGGACAGGTGATGGAGGCCCAAACTGCCATGCAGAAGACCATGTCGGCGATGGGACAGATGGTGTCAGTCATGTCAACTGGGAGAGGAGATACCAGTCCGGGGTACCCCAAATGTTGTTTCCAATGCAAAGAATTGGATCACTTTCAGGCCCAATGCCTGCAGACTGAATCTGCGACCGACCTGACAGCTGAAGTGATACAGGCCTTAAAGAAACTATTCTTCCCAAAGAAAACTTCAGGGGACCTCAGTGAAGGAGCCAGCTGAGGGCCCAAAGAACTTTCTGAGCTCAAACTCTCAAGGAACGCAAACCTAGGAGACCAAAACCACCCAGATTCTTGCTGTTGTCCTTTAGAGCCAAGTCAGCCTCCAACTCCGC